GTGGATGAAGTTGATGTTATGTACAATGAATACTTAAGAATCATAGTTTTATCGACATGTCTTTAATTTTTTTAAATACTTTCTTTTACACAATTTTTTAAGACGTTCATGTGAACAGTTGCTGTATTGAGATATATTTTTGTAAAATGTACATTTTTTGAACATGAAAACATTAAATAATCAAATGTGTACTTTTTAAATTACGTTGTACTTTCACTTAAAATATATTGCATTGTACTTTAACGAAGAACACAGTGTATTATTTTAATTTCAATTCGAAAGTATTGCATTGTTGTACTTAATTGTCTTTTTAACATGTCTCGGATACTTTCACGTTTACTCGGAACTATTTTTGTTTTAAGTAGACACCTTTTGTAAGTTTTACATATTGTCTATTGCTTTATTCTTGCTTTAAAATTTAAAGATTTTAATTTTACCTCACTCTCGTTTAAATCGGGAATACTATATATTAAGTCTCCCCCAAATGTTTCTCACACCCTAAACAGGGCCTACCTCTGAATATTTAACTCTCGATTACAAAAAAAAAGAACAAAACAGCTTTAACAAAAGTGAAGGTCTATACTGCTGCTGTATCATTATTCGTTTGCTGACTTTCCTCTTTACTGAAAGATACATCAGTTTATCTCTGTAGGAAAATACTTAGCCTTATTTTTATTTTCACAAAATCAGGTTTCTCATTAAGCTTATTGTGTAAATTGTATTTTTTTCTGTGTCATAGTTTTAGTTCAGATGATTGTGTATGTTACCTTCTTTATTTTTCAAGTATCAGTGTGGGTTTATATACAAAGAATTTTATGTTTTATATATGATGGAGATATATAATTATATATATTTATTTATTAAATATTAACACCCCGACTTATTCTATATTCATTAACATGAATAATACTTCTATAGCCCATCACCGATTACAAGCTTTCCGTAGACAATGAGAAAACTACTGGATTAGAAAACGGCACAACCAAGCTTTTCATATGGTATCAATGACAATCTCGTAAGTGCTGGCGATCTTGCTAGCTTACAGTGAAACAATTTAAATGTTCTGGGACTTTTTAACAGTTCACAGAGACGCTACATCGGCCTTGCAATAAACCTATTATACACGATGGGCCAGTTATGAAAAAGAAAACTTTGACACCTTGTCAGAACGTATTAAAGTATCAGCTGGATGTTGAAATGAAAGATATGGAGATTACGAACAGTATTCAATATCAATTAAAGTCTATAAAACAATACAAAAATAGGAGCAGAGCAAAACATCAGAGGTGGGATCAGGTGCCATGGAGGAGTGAGCATTCCCTGACGACCAGTCTCACCCGCCGCGTGCTCTTTGTCATGATCGAGAAATAACGGAAAAATCCGTTGTCAATTCAGTGTATAAATAATGGACTAACAATTAGTATGAAGAATGTCAGTCGGCATTTGATTCGATGATAAATTGTATTTGCTGACAAGATCATTGTATCGACCATACATCTTACGAAATGATGACTTTAAACGAAACTTCTGATATTCTTGTTTCATCAATTTGTTTGTCGATTATTTACCTCGTTTTAGAAATTGTTCATACGTAGAGCATACTCTTGCGTATCGAATCAGATATATCAACTCCGTGTGCAGGTGATGAAGGTATATTTCTGCATAAGTAAGGGACCACGTTTATCATAGAGTTTGGTACTTAGATTACCATTAATCTCTATATCTAGTAAAATATCAAAGTATGCAACAGGTGTGTCAGACTCTGTGGTATCTTTTATCTCAAGCTCACCAAGAAATAGCGAAGTAAATTACCATTCTTAATTGACAATACGTCGTCGATATATCTAAACGTCGAGTTGAAGGCCATAGAAGGCGTTTTGTTCTTTTCACGTGTAAGATTTTGCGCAAATTCTGCTTTACATTAATACAAAAATAGGTCTGCTAATAACGGATCGCAATTGGTAGACATGGGAATTCCAATTAGATTGTTGGACCTGGTCTCCGAAAACCACATAGATATTGTCAATCAGAAACTCGAGCATCTTTTTGATGTGTACTTCAGAGTACTTTTATGTGCAATCATAATGTGTTTTAACGAAATAATTTTGCAAATGACCAATGACCAGGTAAGTAAATTAACGAGTTCCATTTTTATTTTAAAAAGCAGCTGTCAATGATATCAAAAAGCCTGATTTTAATTTATCTTGGGGAATGGTTGTGTATAAAGTTGAAAAATCTTAAGTTTTTAAGCTGTTGATTTTTGTAACACTATATTCAAGAAGTGGTGTAAATCAGATCTGTATAGTACTGTTATGTACTGAAAAACTCCAAGAAACTAAGAAAACTTGAATTCACAAAATCTTATCAAAATCGATAACATCAAAACATACGACTTTTTAACACTTGATACAACCATTCCCTACGAAAAATTAAAGCCAAGGCTTTTTGACATCATAGCTTCTTGTCAATAAATTGAAACTCGAAAATTAACTTTACTTTTCAGTGGTCATTTGCAAAATCAATTTCCATAGGTACCAACTGCACCCCTTATTAGCAATCCTATTTTGTATTAATTTGAAGCAGAATGTATTCAAAAACTCCTACGTTGGAAAAAGAAGACACTTGATTCGGAATTAATCTCGAATTTAAGATATATCGACAATGTATTGTAGATTACTATAAACTATACTTACTTCCATTAATATGTCGATTCGATGTATCCCTGTGAGCTTGAAATTACCATAAAAATGATCTATTAATTAAAAGATTGAAAAAAAAAATACCACAGAGTCTGTTTGATATTTGGATTTTCTACTAGAAGGTCTTTAATTGAAACCTAATAAAAACTATATTATATACTTGAAGACTTCAATTTTTCAACTGTCAGCTTCCCTAACTCTGCACTGTTCTCAACTGCTTACGGGGTTAATGTCTCTTGTTTGACTCATTGTACAAGGAAATCGAATGACCAACGCGCTAGTGAAATAAGGATATCAACAGTCACGGTTTAAAGTCTTTGATCAGCAGATCATTGCAGTATGCAAAAATTATGGCCCAACAATAATTATGTAAAATGTCAGTCAACACTCTCCTAAATGATAGATAACCGGGTACATTTGCTAGCTGTATGGTTGTTTGGGTTTTTTGGGGTTTTTTTTTTTGTGCTTTCAAATACTACTTCTCGCGAAAATAAAATGCCAAACAACAATTTCCACGTTAGTGTTGATCATGATAACTTTTCAGAAAAAATAAATTAAGAAAATGCGTAACAGATGAATGTGAGGTTAAAATGGTCATAGTTATTTTCTATTTTTTATTTGGATCTTTTATTAAATAAGTTCAAACTGTTGCTATATTTATTGCTTAAAAATTCTATGAGACAAAAAATAAATGTATTTGGGTTCTTATCTCCTGAAAAGTAAAGGAAATAACAAACTAGAAAATCTGCTCTGTTCCATTATTTTGCAGAAATCAGTTTGATAGGATGCGACTTAAGACCGCGGAACATTAACTGGCAAGATTGGAAATGTGCAGCTTACGTAATTTCTATCTGTTGCAATCAAATCATTTAATGATAGACAATGAAATGGACGGGTACAATTCGATGCGAACGGTCGAGTAAACATTGGATTGAATTTCTTCTATAGTTTGAAATTCATTTTCAATCCACGTCAGCTATGCTTGAAGGCACATTATTACTGAATGACCCAGAAGACAAATAATTTCAATTTTGGTATTGTTTGAAAATAATTGTTGTCAACCATTTTGCATTGAAGACAAAACTGAAAAAAAGCTCTTGTCATCCTAAAAATTAATGGTACAAAGCATGATCTGACTCGACCATTTCTGACAGCCCCCCCCCTTCTAGAATCAAATGGCCGTATCCTGAAAAAATATGTCTCCTATGACATTTTCCAATGTCCTTAAGATTATATTATATAGGCTATAAACTCATATCAATATATTTACATTCCCAATGTCTTTGTCCGAGATAAAATTACAAATTGTAAATGTACTTTATTTCCCCATCAACGTATTGGCGCGGTTCCAAAAAAAACCAAGTGCAGGGCGGAACAAACACCTAGACAGAAGCAGGGCTAGGAGCACGTGGATTGGCTGAATCAAAGCATGTAAATATAAGGAATAACTGTCAGATTTTTCAATTTCATGAAGATGATCAATCGATTGGCTTGCGTGATAATTTTATGCATAAACGCCTTCGGCGTTTATGCAAATTATCACGCAACCCAATCGATTGATCACATCATGAAACCGAAAAATAAGACAGTTATTCCTTAAATAAATTTCAACCAAAATATATTTGGGAATTGAAATTATTTGTCTTTAGGATCATACATTCACACATTGCTTTAAAAAACATCTCAGTTGGATTGAAAATGAATTTCAAACTACAATTTCAATCAAATGTTTTCTCGGTCGTCCGCGTCGAACTGTACACACCCATTTTATTGTCTATCATTATATGCTTTGATTGTAACAGATAGAAATAACGTAAGCTGCATATTTCGAATCTTGCCAAATTATGTTCCGCGGTCTTATAACTCAGTGAAGTTACAGGGGAGATTTAATGAAAAATTATATACATTAAAAAAAAAATTAAAAAGTTTTTGTCTGTTGCCATGGCAACAGTGATGTACTTTAAACTTTCAAAAGGATTTGATTAAAAACAGTCATTAAAAATAAATTTTTAAAAAACCCCACTTTTTCAGTGTCCATGGTAACAGTGGCCATTTTGAAAAAAAAATGAAGAAAGATTGCACATTTTTAGCGATCTTTATGACAGTGGACTTTCATCAAGATTCACAAAGTCATCTTTGAGAAATGTGCGGACCGCATTATTGGTCAAACAATAGCAATATTCATGTATCTCGCCGACTTAGTACGGGGTGACTAATAAACGAGGATGTTATAACTGTAAGTCCTTGATAGTGAGCGATTTTAACGTATCGATGGATGAAGAAATAGGAATTGTGCATCCTATTACAGATATATAAATTGCATGTAATATGTATCTACTGATCAAAGATCCACAATGGTCACTTACGAAATTAAAGTGAAAACCGGGGATGTACTGGGGGCGGGTACAGATGCCAACGTAAAAATAGTTCTACTTGGTAGATGTGGGAAACAAACGCAATCCGCCAATCTGGATAACAGGTTTAGAGATGATTTTGAAAGATTCCGGGCAGATGTCTTCACCATAAAAGATAAAACAGATATTCCTGAAGTGACTGAAATCAAGCTGCGGAGAGACAAAGCGGGTTCCCGCAGTGATTGGTTTGTCGAAAAGATCCAGGTAACCAATCAGAAGAGCGGGTGTACTTCTGTTTTTCCAATACTTCGGTGGATACGTCCTGATATTGACCTTTATTTTGGACGATATGACGCCTTTCTGCCTCAGTTTGATCCTCATCCAGAACAGCGAAGGGCTGAACTTTATGAGAAAAGAAAACTATACGAGTACCAAGAAAAAAGACCGGGATTTCCCGTTCAGGTAATAATTAACAATACATATTCTTACATCACTAAATGAATAATGAACGCTAGTCGTTCTCCATTAATTGAGTTCTATGTTATTAATTGATTGCTATTTTACGAATTGATTGCTATGCTATTAATTGATTGCTATGTTATTAATTAATAGCTATATACTCAATCGATCACTATGTTACTAATTGATTGCTGTGTTATTAATTGATTCCTTTGTTATTAATTGATTCCTTTGTTATTAATTGATCGCTATGTTATTAATTGATTGCTATGTTATCAATCGATTGCTATGTTATTAATTGATTGCTGTGTTATTAATTGATTGCTATGTTATTAATTGATTGCTGTGTTATTAATTGATTGCTATGTTATTAATTGATTGCTGTGTTATTAATTGATTGCTATGTTATTAATTGATTGTCAGGTTAAAAAAGTCCCCGATGACGAGGAATTTTCCTTTTGTCACAAGGTAGGTGACGTTGTACTTCTTCTTTGACAATCTAATACAGAATTCAATAAGGATATAGCTATCTTTGTTTCATTACTACTTTTACTTATTTTATTACATTCCTATACCAAAAGCTATCAACTGCATGGATTCATGAACTGTATCGTGTCATAAAACAGAACAGTTAAATTATTTTTAAAAAGTATTTTCACTGACATTTCGAAGAATTATCGTTGTCTTCATTTTGCTAGAAATCAAGTATGATTTTGACATCGCATGTCGAAATGTTTTGACGTTATAATTACATTGCTAACAACATGACGTCACAGACTCGCGATTCCTTGAACGCTCCGCCAACTGAACACTTTGATTGGTTAAAATTAGTAATAAATATTCATGAGGGAGTAGTCTCAGGGAGTAGTTCTGATTTTCCAGGGAGTAGTCTTCAGATGAGGGAAATAGTCTCTTCTCGGGGAAATAGACAGTTTTATGGTATTGATTTTATATAGAGTAATTACAGTAGAGGTATAATAAATAAATTTATCAAGTCAATTTCTTTCCATTATTATTTCAATCTACGATGTTGCAACTATAGCGTAGTTGTATCATTTAACTTTCATTCCAAAAGCAAGTTTCAGGAAAGAGGAAGTCCTTAGATCCTTACCGGTTCGATTTTATTTCCAAGAAAAGGTCTGATGAAGAGTTAAACAATCTTTTCTATAACGTAAAAATGAGAGTTCAGAGAACGAGAATTACATGAAATTGTTGTGACCGATCCGCAGGGGATGCTCACTGCTCCATGGCACCTGATCCAATCTCTAATGATTTTAGAGGTCCTTTTTTGCTGCCGATTTGTATTGTATGTATGGACTTTTCATATACATAAAACGATGTTTTCATAATCTCAGTTTGATCTGACTAAGATGAAGCTCACTATGGAGGCCAGCAAGGCGAAGGAGATGATATTGGGTGATGGAGCGTGGGAAACTTTAGACGACATGAAAAATATCTGTTTGAAAACATTTAAAGTGCCCAAGGTAAGAAATCAAAAGTTTAATCTTATTGTAAATTTTGATACTTATTTTCTTTTTATACTGTTTACCTCAACAATACAAACTTATATAAATATATAACAAGTGTAATATTCATTACTTTATTAGATAAAGGGGGGTAGATTTTATTTGTAAAAGTTCTAGTCAAGTCATTGTATTTCTCGGAATATTCCGTGAATCATGCCATGTTTGTTTTGTTTATAGATTTACCATTGTGTTGGTCCCACATGTTTTTCTGTTATATGCTTATGTATTTTGATTATTATTTACCTGACAAGGCTATGTTCTTAAATTGTTTAAGATTTTATTGTCAATGAAAATAAGAATCTACTTACAGGAGTTTCAGTGATGTTATTAAGTAATCCACACTGTATTTGTTATGACATGACATCTACTGTCAGTGCATGTAGGCCGCCATTGTATGACATCATCAAATAGTTCACGGCGCAATAATTTGGATTTGTTATAATGTAAAGCTAGTACAAGTAGATTCCTATTAAATTACAGTTAAATTATAGTTTTTATAACTTGAACTATTTAAAAGATACCTGAAGATTTGATCTCTCTATTTATGATTGTTGTCATTTAGCACTATTTATTTTGCTCAAGAATATTACCTAATTACTGATGTCTACTATAGTTACACCACAAGAGATAGTTCTTTGTTAAGAATTGTTTAATTCTTGATTTATTAAGTAAGTAATGCATTCATTTTATTGTGTATAGAGAATATATAGCTAATAGGATAATTTAGTAATATATGATTGTTCTTAATTGTTAGAATTATAATAATTTATGCCTGTCAGGATTGTCAGGAAAATGAAGCATTTTGATTGGTTAGTTTCTAGATGCAAAAGCTAGATCTATATAAGTGAGCCAACTTCTCAGTTTTGTCAGATAGCTCCACTGAGCACTTGACTAATTGTTGTCTTATTAGGTATGATGAATTCTGAAAACCAAGATCATAATTTTTATAAAGACAAGTTCTAATTATTATTCAGCATAAAGATTGTTTTCATAACTTGGCAACCCAGAATCCTGACATTTTATAAATTCCTGACACCCAGATTTCCTGACACTCAGATTTCCTGACACCCAGATTTCCTGACACCCAGATTTCCTGACACTCAGATTTCCTGACACCCAGAATTCCTGACAATATAATTCCTGACAAGTGAAATACTGACAATCTCTTATAATATAAATAATTATTACTCTCCACATTTTTTACTCCTGATACAGCACTCTTTGTTATAAGAGTTATTCCCCTTTAAATCCCATTATGGCTATAGATACCTAGAACTTTATACTGAGCTATCTCCCACCACTCATGAGACCCTAACAAAATGTTGTGTGTATGTTGATAAAGGGACCAACACAGTTTTGTGCATCAAATGTTGACTTGTTTATTTATGTTTGCGATGAAAGTTAATAAACAGTTATAAAGAACATATGGAGTTCCTGTGTGAAACATCTACAATGGAAATAAGGATATTTTAAGGCCAGCCTGTTACACAATACAGTTCTAGGAAATTGCTTTTGCTATTTGGGAGGTGGATTTGGACACCCTAGGAGATTCAGAGTTAATTTATAGTGAAGTAACCAAAAGTAACCTTGGACCCCATATATATGATAAAAAATCAGCTAACAAAAAAGTTCTCCAAAGATTGACCATAAAACAATGACTGTTAATGGTACCTGTACAATGTATTCTATTATAAATGTCCAGTGAAAAAAAAATTAATTAAATACAATTTTCTTCAGAGACATTGCAATCTATTGCAAAGTTAAATTACTTCACCAATCAGCTTTACGAGTGGCACTTAGTAAGACCTATGAATTATCTACAGAGGAAAAGCACCACCCTCTAAGTCCAAAAACAGTAACTGACAAAGCAAAAATAAATTGAAATTCATATCGTAAAACTGAATGATTTTGTTACATTGTGCTTATCTTTGCATTTTGATTCCAATTATCTATAATGAGATTCTAACGAACGACCAATGAAGTGTGCATCTGTGCATCTTATTTGTACAGGGGATGCTGGACTGGGAGAGTGATATTAGTTTTGGCTGGCAGCGCTTAAATGGTGTCAATCCAAATATGATTTATCTTTGTACCCATCTACCAGACAAGTAAGGGCTTATTGATAATTTATCTGCTCTTCTAAAGATATATAATCTGCACCAAAATTTATCTTTAGAGATTTAGAGATTTATCTGCTCTTCTAAAGATATATAATCTGCACCAAAATTTATCTTTAGAGATTGGGCACGTTAACAAAAACAAAAATCCTGAATCTTGACTGATGTTTAAGGGGCATGGACACAGTTTCAACTGAATTTTTTAAACCAATATTAATGTTTACAATTCCTACCTAAGTCCTCATCCAATGATTAGCAAAAATTTGAACATCATTTATTGATTAACAAACGAGATACAGAACTAAAAAAATGTAAACATGGCTCATGCCTTGTTTTTGTTTACATAAAGAAAATATCATATTTATAACAAAATGAAATTTAGAAAATCAATAGAAACTGTCGAATTGTATTTAAAATTAACTTTTTTGTGAAATTATCTACTTTGAACGATTATATAGTAGTATATGAACCTATGTAAACAAATCATGACACGGACCTTGTTTACATAACAAAGGTTTGGAGCTCTAAATATGTCTTGTATCTCGACAACTGATGTTCAAATTTTTGATGATTATTAGAAAGACCCTAGTAAAATATTTTTAAAAATGAAAAAAAAAATTTTTTTAGCTGAAACTGTGTCCAACCCCTTTAAGTAGTTAAAAAGTGACTATCAAAACTAATTATTTATGTTCAATTCAGATTTGGTGTGACTGAAAAAATGGTTAAACCTTTCCTCGGGGGCCTGACAATATCCCAAGCCATCAGGGATAAGCGTTTGTTCATCACTGATCTAGAAATACTGAATGGGATTTCTGTTAACGAAGGCTATGTTGTAAGTTGGTTGGTTCATTACTGGAAATGCTGAATTAGATTCAACAAAACTTTATGAAAGACGTGATGACTTCAATTTCTTTTTATCGTTAAGATTCCTTACTTATTTAGCAATATACCCTTATTTTTTATTGGCACTTACATTTTAAAAATTAAGATAAAATACATACATGTAACATTGCAGAAATAATACATAATCAATATTGCTAATAGATTTAAAATTTATCTTATATAATAAAAAAAGTCTAATAATTGAATATGTTTATGGGCTTAATAATATAATATATATATATATATATATATATATATATATAGTTTTGTGCCATGCGGATTGTGGGTTATTTTGCGTCTTTTTCACTCACGTTGTGGGTACCATGGATGGTTTATGGGTCATTATATATTGACCCACAAACCATGTGCCTAAAATTTTGTTTATGACAATAATATAGTAACTATATTCATTTTTTACAAAAAAAAAAATTTTTGACCCATAATTACACAATCAAAAAATGACCCACAATGCAATTTTATATATATGAAATCTTACCGCTGAGTACATCGGCAGGATTTTGCGTGTGACCCACAATATTTTATATACTTTCCCATGAGTATTGAAGTGATAAGGAGAAACGGCTAGGTTTTATAGCTTAATTTCAGTGAATCATTGTTAAATTGTAACGATTTTTTTTATTTATATGTGTGAGATTTTATTTTCAATGTACTACATCGTATAAATCTATAAAAAAAAAATATTGCCTAATTTATTTTAAAACTTTTTATCTTACGATAGTTGTGTTCTTCCTAAAGTTTATATATCTAAATATAAATTCTTATGAAGATGAGAAAGAAAGCTTCAATTACACATTTTTTGAAAGAAAAAAAAACCGACTAAAATGTTTCTATAAAGATCGCGCGTGAGATGTGAATCGCGATGTTTCAATAATTAAAAAAATATGTTAGGTTGAAGTCTCAGAAAATCTTTCACAACTAAGTCTTTAGGTTTATTCAGAAAGAAATATCACACATTAAGATTTAAGGTAAGTGTAATCAAATCAACAATTATTTAACATTTTATAGATTGAAAAGTATATACTCAGTATCCGACGGTGTTCTATATATCCAATGTATTGACCCAGAATAATGTATAGTTGCCTGTATTTGGATCCCGCAATTTCTCTATCTTTTGGGAGGTCAACATTTCCGCTACATTGCAAAAAAATTTCAATTCATTTACGCTACATTTCTTTGAATGATCAATACCGCTACATTTTATCAACAAGACTATTGTCGATTAAAACTCATTACCGATACATATCAAATCAGCCAGGAATGCCACAGAATTATACTTGTATACTGACCCACAACTCGCTTCTGTACATTGATCCCGCAACATTATATACATATACTTAGAGTTAATGACCTACAATTCTATCATACATACCTATATAAATCTTAAACAATATAAGTTAATTTAAAAAATAGATCACTTATGACAGAAAATGTCTCTTAAAATAAAAGTTGGATTAAGTAATATATGCTTGCTTTTACGTGTAAAGAGTAAAACACATTCTGCTGCATCTGACGAAATATTTGTTTTATAGACACAGCGGTTCTAGATCATGCACAAATAAGAAAATTTTGTCGCACTCGGTCTTCTTTGGTTTATGCTTAGTAAGATACATTGCTTAAATTCTATCAATGGGGCTTGGTTCCGGGATCGTGTATTTTTTGTATTGTGTGATTAAATTAACTAATTATATTGAAAATCTTAAATCAATGAAATCCATAGTTTTTTTTAAAATCATATTTCAGAGAAAGGGTGACACTCGACCTCTTGAATACCAGAGAGTGTCTCGGTCACACTATACATAGGCGTTGCAGTCGTGGGTGCTAGAGAGGGCTTACCCCCTCCCTCAACCAGAACCCACTTCTGATAAGATAAACAAAATAAGGATTGCAAATTGTGGCTTACCTTTTTTTTGTTTAGCCCCCCCCCCCTCCCATTTTAACTTGCTTCCGACGCCAAGATGCTACTGGTTTTATTCACTGTATACACTTTTGCTACCGGAGTCGGTGAGATTTAATTTCCGAAATGATTGTATTATTCTCGTCCACTATCTGCCTATTGACGAAATATAAGCTTTACAAAACATGTAGTGAGTCAAAATTATTTATGAAAAAAAATGTTAAAAACGTCAAGCACCTGTGATTTGGAATACCTAATAATAACAATCCAACATACAAATGTGTATATATGCAGTATAGTCAGAATTTCAGAGATGTGATCGATTAAATCCCTATACGACAATCTTTAAAGAGAAATATTAAATGAATCAGATGTTATGTAAATACTGCATGTCAACGACGTCCCTGAGTGGGAATACCCCCTTTCCCCTTCTCCAAATCGTCCTAGTATAATATGAAATTAAATTATGCATCGGATGTATAAATAAAATCTCAGAACTGTAATGAAGAATGGTTAAATTGTTTTAAATCAGCAAAGTCGCTATATTTAAATTTATGTTTATATATTATTTAGGACCCTCTCTACACCGATGCAAAATACTTTTAAGATAGGACTTTTCTGTAAATTACACAGTTTAAATCAATCTTGTTTCATAAATATCAGAGACTTTTAAAACAATAACCAATTAAAACATGTATATGTACATTGAAAAGGCAACGAATTCAATCTCTTCGGAATTAAGCCGCAACTTCTCGGGCCTTTCCGACTAGCGGAAAACAACTTCGAATGTATTGCTTAAATAATAATTGAAATACCTTTTTATACTAGTATGTGGAGTTTAACTTTGATATTACCTAAATTATACTATTATCATAGAAGGGGCTTTTAAGTTACTTATATTCATTCTGTCCGACGGGTATATTCTGTTTTTGAATAAACTGGAAAGATGTATATTTTTTAACATGCGGTTATGTTAATACATTCGAGGCACTAAAAGCTAGCACACTAGCCTGATACCCTGGCTCATCCTTGCCAAGGAGTACAGAGACAGGGAACCAGCCGACTCGCACACTAATCTCAGACGTCAAAGGTGTTCTACCATCTTGCTGATTCAGTCATGTGATCATATTTGAATTTCATTCAAATGTTTACCTTTTGAAGACCGATTAATTTTAATTGTGGTACGCACAACACTAAGTTTTTGCTTTCAAAGACTATTAAGAAATGGTTGTAAATTAATTAAAAGCAATATACATCGAAGAATTAGACAAATTAAAAAACCTTTTTGATGAACTTTATGCATAGCGAAATATAAAATGAGTAACTACATGTAAGCAGTTTCCGGCGGAGAAAAATCAATGTATCGATCTGATTCCTCCACCTATCACACCCGAGGTTTGAGTGGACGAAGCGGAGTCAGCCGAGGATTGTCGATAACACCCGAGGTTGTTTTTCCGAACTTTTGACGGAAAGAGCCGAGATGGTGCGATTGCTCTCCGATCAGCGGAGAGACTACCTCGAATGTATTACAAAATCGTTCACTTCTTTTCAACAACATTCAAATAAATACTTTGTGGCTTCTAATGTGTAGATTCTTGTCCATACCTTAAAGAATGTAAATTAAATATTACGCAAAATTTGCAAGGGAGGGGATAATCAAATGAATACGAAGCGACTCCATTTTGCATAAAATTTTAACATCTGCTGCTTTTAATACATTTGAGGTGTTTTTTTTTTTTAGCTTTACAGAGACAACAGATGGACTAATTGGCACTTATGAATACATTTAATATGGCATTGGAAAATGTATAAGTATTTCAATCTTCAAATTAACTTAATTCCGTATTCCTTGAAAGACGGTATAATATACTTTAAGTTTTTTACAGTCTTCGGACTATGCACTTCCTCTCTTTTATGATTGGTAGAAATTGCATGATGAGAAAGTTTTCAATGGTTGAAAGACTGGTCTCCGCGTCCCACAGGGGGAGTCAAACTTTCCTTATTTGAAGAAGGTAATGGAATCAGCCGAGGTTTGCCAAAAGCTCTCGGACAGTCAAAGTTTACGGAGATGACAGAGCGACAATCGTGGTAGGGCTGATGACAGTAAAAAGCTAATGTAGAAATACAAAATCAAGAAATTCAAAAGAACTATACGGACTGATAGATGAAGATCAGTTTACTATTTAAGATTGTTGCTAAAGACGGTCAGCTTTTTTAAAAAGTTCTACTTGTATGGTTAAAAAATCAAAGTTTTTGCAGACAGACGGGTGGACAAAATCATTATGCCCAGATCTTCGACCTTCTTGTACATAAAAAGTACATGGAATATAATGAGATATAATCTCACAACTTTTAAAAATTCATGAGTTTAGCAAATGTTATTTTTCTTTGAGGGTGTAGGATTATAAGCTTCACACAGAATGAAAATATAAGCGAATTGAAACCGGATGCAATGCAGCTTAAACATGTACCTGAGTGCTTGACAGGTCGCTAAAACAACTCACCATTATGACTATGGACCTCAGTCAGAATTAATGGACTCACCATCGAGAAAAATCGTATTTACACGTACGAATACGAGGGTTGTTCGAAAAATTCGTGGACGATGTCGATCTTCATTATACTACTTTCAAGAAATTTGAAATAAGCTCAACATCATGTGTACAAATATTTGTTTTGTTAATTTGTGAAGTATCGTTTCTTGGGCTTCGGAAGCAAATTGAAAGTGGGGGGGGGGGCTAACCGAAAGTGGGGGGGGGGGGGGGGGGGGCTTAAGTTAACCAACAAAAAAAAGGTAAATCCCAATTTTCAATGCCTATATAATAGTTATTTTTGCAAAAAAAGTGGGGGGGGGGGAGCTAAGCCATCATAAGACTGAACTTTTGTCCCCCACTTTTACTGAAAGTAGGGAATATTACTTTTGGTCCGTCCGTCTGTAGATCTGTCCAGCTTATTTTCTGTCTGTCTGCAACACTTTCTTTTTCGCGCGGTATCCCGAGAAGCTTTTGGGTTTTTACAATGAAATTTTCCCCTGG